TCGAAGGGGCAGCTCCCGAAGCTTTTATGTGTAGGGTTTGGGTTTTGGGGTTTAGGGTCTATAAGGTTTAGGGTTTAGGGTGGCCTAAACCCTAAACCCCAAACCCTAAACCCCAAACCCGAAACTCCAAACCCCAAACCCCTAAACCCGAGCCCAGGTCCCGAGTGGTTCTCTTCAGCGACTGGCTGAAGGTGGTGAGATGAGACAGGATCTCCAACTGCTTCGTCTCCACCTGCATGGGACAGACTAGTATTTAGGGCTTTGGGGCCCAGGGGGTTTAGGGTTTAGGCTTTAGGGTTTAGGGCTGTGGGGAGCAATCAGGGGGTGGGTGAGTTCTTTAGTTTCCGGTGGCTTATTTTACTGATGGTCGGAACGTTCAGGATACTATCTGCTCATGGATCCATATCGGGGTTTCCGAAAATAGGGGACCCTAATATAGTACCCTAACTGTTCGGATCCCTATTATAAGGACTCCCCAAAATAAGGTACCCCTTATTTTCGGAAACTCCCATGTCAAGGCCGCCTTCCACCTGGCACGGACAAACGGCAAACACCAGATCATCAATGGGTCAATGCATGCCATACCCTATAAGGGTCCATGTGCTCATATAGTATATACATCGGCCTTGATGTAGTCCCCATATAGGTACTTTAGGGCCCATGTATATGCTATATGAGTACATGGACCCTTAGGGATAGTGATGACTTTCCAGGGACCTGAAAAATGACCCTGAAGCGGGTAATCAAGGGACTAATTGCGCATCGGAATTCTCAGCTGCACGTCGTGAAGTGAGACTTGGTAAAGATCGGCCGGGTTGAAGGGTTGTACGCTTGCAGGACTTTGGAATTATGAGATCAAGTGTTACGTCCAGGGCAAGGCGACGCAGCAGACAAACGGAACGGAACCGTGCCGAACCATTGATCCCCTCTCCCCACAGATGGTCTGTCAGGACTCCAGGACTGTAGTTTAGGATGAATGGCACCCGTCGCTCCCTTTCTGCATGAACTGCCGTAAATATGTCGACCTTCAGTTGGTGTGCAGAATGCGAAGTTGCTGTCGTTTTTGTTGTTTCCGACTTCTTTTTAGATGGAAGGATGACACATTAACTCTAAACGCAAGCACCCTAAAATAGCCTAAACCCTGAACCCATAAATCCTTTACATACCCCAAACCCTAACTCATGCTCACGCGTTTCTCTCGCATGCGCTTTTCCTTTCCATGCACGAACATGGCAACGGGCCCTCTTCGAGGATGCCGTAGGACAAGTGAGACACGGTCAGCTCTGTGGCTTTAGGGTTTACAGCACGGTAAGGGTTTAGGGTTAAGGGTTTTGGGTTTTGGGGTTTACAGTTGAGGGGTCTTAACAGTTGGATTGCTGTGTTGTTTAAGGCCTCCTTGCGCGTCCGCATCCCTCTGTCGCCAGTTTGAGCTTAGGGTTTGAAGTTGCTTGAAAGGGTGACTTTATGTTGAGGGTGACTGTGGTTGACCTCGACACGAGTGCACACCGACACCCCTAAAACCCTAGATCATACTATACTAGACTGTACTATACTATTCTATTCTAGACTACGCTGTACTATACTATACTATATAACCTACTGCAGCAACACATAATATTACACAACATAACATGACTTAACCTATGATAACACAGTATTCAAGCATAAGACAACATCTGCACGATAAAAATCAAATCGAAGTCGATGAAGACTAGAGTTAAACACATTCAATACATCATGTCGCAACATGATATACTAATATGTTATATATCATACTATACTATACTATACTATACTATACTATACTATACTATACTATACTATACTATACTATACTATACTGCACTCTACTCTATTATACCATGCTTTTCTATACTATTAGGCCCGTCTGCATCCAAGATCCTAGATTGCAGAAACAAGTTTCTTGGATCCTTTCCAAGGGCCGCACGCCAATGATTGAATACAAAAAATACTAAACATCTAAATAGTGGGTCGCCCGGATCCAAGATGGATCCAAGAAGCTTTTGTCAACGCTAGTCCGTTAAACCACAGTAGAATACAATAGACTAGAAACTAATACAATACTATATGACTGAATATGCAGATATGAAAGAACAGAACAGAACAGAACGGAGTGGAATAGAAGACCATTTCGTACTATAGAGTATAGTACCATGTAGTATGATACAACAGACGAATGGAATTCAACACCATATTTCAAATAATGCATATTAATATACGTGCAATATAATACGAACTACATAACAAGTAAAATCCAGAAGCCATAAGAAAGACGACCTAAATCTAAACTAATTATAAATAAATGAATAATATATATATATATGTGTACATATACATACAGACAGACAGACAGACAGACAGACAGACAGACAGACAGACATACAGACAAACAGACCTACATACATACATACATACATACATACATACATACATACATACATACATACATACATACATACATACACACACACACATGCATGCATGCATGCATGCATGCATGCATACACACACACACACACTCCACCATGTGCCAGTTGCCTATTGCAGTGTTGTCGTCACGGCCACAGAGCTGCAATCGAAAACCTCGTGACCTAGTGCTACTACTATCCTTGTAAATCATCAACCCTACACCCTGAACCAAAATTCCTAATCCCCCAAACTCTACCTATAGTCTCCATTGTATTTCCTTTTTGGGGATACCTTCTAAAAGCCTTAATATATAATCGGTTAAACAGAAAAAGGAACTACAATGGAGACTCTAGGTAGGCCCTCATCCCCTAAACATTCATCAACCCTCTTCCTCCTCCTCATCTTGGCCCTGTCCAAGCGCCTTTAGCGCCTCTTCCTGAATTGCCTGGACACCGCAGGGCACGACGGCTTAGGAGCTAAAGCGGGCAACGATTAGAGAGTTTAGGGTTTGGGGTTTCGGTGTGGGGGAACTGAACCACCGAACCCAGTTTCCAAGAAATCAAAGTTGGCCTGAACATCCGCATAAAGCCCTAAAGAACCCTTTCAAGGACCCTTAAGAGTGTTTGGGGTCTTCAGAAATTTCAGCACAAAAGGTTGTAATTCCGACTGTTTCCACACTGTTTCGAGCCAGAGAGCCAAATACCCTTTAACTAAGGAATACCACAGAGGCCTTAAGAATTAGTAAGGTTGAGGTACATGGACCATGACCGCAACACCCGAATCTGTCACGAAGTGCAAACACCCGCTCGCTTCCCGCCTTCAATTTGGCTTTCTTCCGATCTGCTTCGCGCTGCTTGTCCTGCAGGGACGTGTTCGAGGCCGCCAAGTCCAAACCAAACCTTAAACCCTAAACCCCTAAACCCGGAACCCTAAACCCCTAAATCCCTCAAACCCTAAACCCTACCTTAACAGTAGCCCTAACATCCTAGACCCTAGTCCCTACAAAGCACAACGAGCCCGTCGAACCGCGAGCATGTAAAACGTGTGGACCCCGACTACAGGTTGTGTCCGCAGCTGAAACTGCGCTTCCCAAAGGGTCCATGTACCCAAATAGTATATACACTGGCCCAAAGTACCTATATAGGGACTACATTTAAGGCCAAAGTATATACTATTAGCGTACATGGACCCTTAGGGTTTCTATCTGTCTCAAGCTTGCGAGGCTCCATATACACGATCAGCCTAGAATTAGATAAACCCTAAACCGCCCTAAAACCATAATAAGGATGGTCTTATGCTCAATGGTAGGTAGTACATCTGGGGCCTCTGGGTTAGGGGCTTTCAACTCCAGTGTTGCGGCGTTGGGGGGCGTAGGGCTCACCGGACACACAGGCAGCCCCCCACCGTGCGAGGCAAACTCCAGGCCTTAAGCCCTAAACGCTAAACCCCTAAACCCTAAACCCCTAAACCCCCAAACCCTAAACCCTAAACCCTAAACCCTAAACCCTAAACCCTAAAGGGTTTAGGTTTCCAGGAGCCGGGTTATGTGTGCTAACGGTTGAAGAAGGACCGAAGCTGCGATGTGCTCCAGGCGTTCATGTAGGGGCCTGACATAATTAGAACAGCTTCTTGGCGCGCACGGGGTTCTAGAAGGGCTACTATAAGGGCTTAGGGTTTAGGAGCCTGACATAATTAGAAGAGCTTTTTGGCATGCGCATTCTGCTTATAGTCACTTAAAGGACTCTTCGGATACTGTTAGTAATCATTCCGACCCAACAGAGTGAGGTACGATCGAGCACGGTGGAGACTCCTGCCTGTTGCAAACACAGAAGTTAACTTCCAGGACAACAGAATAACTACGAGTTTGTCTTCGGAGATTTGGGGGTTTAGGGTTTAAGGTTATGAGGCGTTGGCCTAAATCCTAAGCCTTGTACCCTCAACCCTCAGCTTAGGGCCCTAAGCCCGAATCCCTGCACGATATATGCTCTGGTCTAGGCGCTGTTCTTCTATGAACCTCCCATCACGAGGCCTGTTTGTGCACCTTGTCCATGTAATCATTCAACCTGGGCAGTCAGCAGCAACACGAACAAGATAGGGGCCTTAATCGTAGTTAGAGCTCAGTAAGGATCTTTTTTTGGGAGCCGAAGTGTACGAGAAGTGTGTTCAGGAAGGGACAGAAATTTATCAAGGGATTACATTTCGAGTTATTCGGGACCCCCCCCCACCCCCCCATACTACACAATCGTCCACCGGAGGTGCGCAGCTGTGCCGTGTTGACGGTGCTTGGTGCATGACAGACAACACCCGGCCAAACAGTAGCAAACAACATCCCGAAGATAGAGGAAAAATCACAACGAGAGATTGGGAGATCTCACAACACTCTCTTCAAGTAGGCCAAATAGAACATCATCTCACTAGGCTCCAGGCCGGTGGTACATCTCGTGGAAGAGACCCACCATACCTGAGGGATACTTGGGCCGTGCAAGAGCAACCTCCTTCTTCACCCATCCCCTATAGGGTTTAGGGTCTAGGGTTAGGGGCTAGAGTTTAGGGTTTAGGGGTGGGGTTAGGGGCTAGAGTTTAGGGGTTGGGGTTGCTGTTCAAGTTCCATGTGGCTATACCTGTACATTTACGGGCTAGCACATTTTGCAGCAAACTATGGAGAGCCCAAAACACCTGCTCTGATGATGTAGGGGTCTTAATAGTTAGAATAGGGTTTGGGGGTGTTTTACATTATAAATACAATAAAAAAACCAACATAGTATTGGTAATTTTATTTAGGCCTCTCTAAAATACAATTATAGTAAGGAACCTCCCAAAATAGCATTTGTAATTCTATTTAGGCCCCTCTAGTCCCTAAACCCTAAACCCTAAACCCTGAACCCTGAACCCTAAACCCTAATAGACAAAAATCTGAGCAGACAAGCCGCGGCCGGTGTCGTCGGCAATTCGAGCGCACTCGCCCTCGAGGAAGCTGATCGAACTCGCAGGGACAGGGTTTAGGGTTTAGGGTTTAAGGTTTAGGGTTTAAGGTTTATAAAGGGTTTAGGGTTTAGGGTTTATAGGGTTTAAGGTTTAGGGTTTAGGGTTTAGGGGTTTAGGGTTTAGGGTTTAGGGAGCCATCACAGGACA